CGTCAAAGTGCAGCTCTGACCAACTCAGAACCTGAACACAGCCTGGATTATCTCCATATCATCAAGTCCAGTACACATTTACTGGCACAATATTATTTAATGAAATAGTGAGAAAAAGAATTATTTCTTAAGTTTTTCTAACACACAGTGACTCTTTCTACTTGGGAGCGTCAGCAGTGAGTTTGTTGATCAACTTGTCGTAATAAATGACGTTCTCCTTCCGATTGGTGTGTACTGTTAGCATCTCGTCCATCTCCTCTTGAGTGAAAGGCTCACCTGGTTAAAAAAAAAAAACACAAAAATGTGCAAAATATTTTTCAATAAAAAATATACTAAGACTGAATCCACTCTCCATAACTAGTATTAGCTTCTGTTTCCTCTTGAAATTTTTGTTTTACCTTCCTCCATCATAAGCTTTGTCAGCTCTTCGGGTTTGAGGAAACCTTTCTGCTCTTTGTCGAGAACCTGGAAACAGTTTACGGGTTACTATTGTTGCTCGTGTGAAAATGTGAATTCTTGAGAAAGTTTCAAGAGCTGCTTCAGAGAAACAAACAGAGTGAGGAAGAAACAGCCAATTTCACCTTAAATGCCTGAAATATTTTGCTCCTGGGGATGGGAGGAAACCTAACAGACACAACAAAGCACCAGTTACTTTTCTGCAAATACGTCACACATGATTAGTAATACAGAGACTACCCAGGAGTCATTCTGATTTACAATGAAAATTTTAAAATAACTTACAGCCAGGGCACTTATAGGGTGCGTTCACACTGCAGCCTGAAGTGACCCAATTCCGATTTTTTTGACGTAATGCGACCTGTATCTGATCTTTTCATGGCAGTGTGAACAGCACAGGTCGGATTCTTTTTCGAATGTGACCCATATCCGATACGTATCCGATATCCAGGTCGCATTCATACGAACTGAACGTCACTGTTTCTCAACAAATCTCACTATTCTGCGTCCTGATAAGCGCAAGCGGGAATTAAAACAACAACCACGATGGAATATATGAGGATTAAGTTGTTAATATGCTGCTCCGGCCGGACAACAACTTCAAATATGTAAGCTAAGCTCCACCGTTAGCCTCCATGTTTACTTCCGCAAACACTGAGCACTTCTTCTTTTTATGGCGGTTGGCAGAACACTTAGAACGCTGACGCTATTGCGCCCTCTACTGCGCATGCAGGACACTTTCAGGTCGTTTGCCCGTTCACACTGCAGAACGCATACAGGTCGCATTTACTAGCGGTGTGAACGGCCCCGGCAAAAAAATCGGAATTGCCAAAAAATCTGAATTGGGTCACTTCAGGCTGCAGTGTGAACGCACCCATAGTATTCTTACATCATCAGCATCATTGTGGATTTAAAATATTATCTTTATAAAAAGAATTGCTTGAAAACAAGGACTCTTACCTTTTAGGCTTTCTTTTATTTTATGTACTTTGTGTTTAGGTTTATTTTGTTCTACGTTATTTTGTGAATAAATGTTGCACATTTTAACGAAAAGACAAAACATGGATAGATGAACAATTATTTTAAGAGTTGTTCAGTGTGAAAACAGTTCCACAAATCTCTAATTATTCTAAAGTTTTTGAACCGCCGGATTACAGATCTAAGTTTAATTTTTATATACTTTACGGAATAAAAATATAAAGTTTCTGACAAAGCTTCAAATATTAATGTTCACAGGTGATTAGTTCATGAGAATAACATTGAATCTAATTTTATGTAAGACATCTGGACAAGAGGAAATTTACTGTTTTGTGAAAAAATATGCATCCATCGTCTGTCTAAAGATCAGGCCAAGAAAGAGAAGCATTTAAATCATAAATCAGCTGTTTTTCTGTCACCTGAGACTGGAGGCTCAACATATACTTCTAAGAGTTTGTGAATAACCAATATAAACACTTGATAACAATAAATGCAATAGTAGATGGTGCAAGATTCTTTAACATGAAAAATACTAATTGAAAAACACATTTGTAGAAGAAAAGCATTTTATCTAAGGAACCTAATCACTGTCCATTCATAACAAAATAGATTTTTGTGTGTTGGCTGGTGATGGTGATTAAAAATAACTGTAATCGAGTTAATTATTAAGGAGTTTCATAGTATACAAACAAAAAATCTGCATCAAAATCTGAATGCTGGTGTCATGGAGCCAACATGAATTGTCTTACTTGTTCTCCAACAGGACTTTGGCCATAGCTGGCAGGAACTTATCTAGATGTACAGTTCCTGAGGAATTTTCTTCCACCTGGGTGGACAGAACAAGACACCTGGGTTTTACTCTTTAAACTTTACACCAGAACTTTTGCATATTAAAGGTCCACTATTATGCTAATTTGGGTATTTCCTGCATCTAAAAACAATCCAAGAGCTAAACAATAACAACAAACACCCAATTGTTTTTTTTGGAATAAGTAAATATTCTTCTGGTGTCTGCACAAGAGCCCCTGTTTCAAAAACCTCTAAGTTGTTGTGTCACAATCTGTTACCTAGGAACCTTAAATGCCTGAAGTGGAGCTCCACCCACTTCATTTAAGACGCTAATCTACCGCTGCTATGGCTTCTGGAAAAGGAAAATGTTTTTGTGCGGTCCATGCATTTCTCTCATTCATGGAGAACAGAGCTGCCTGGCTTCATTTTATTTTTGCCTGCAATGTCCCTGCGATGCTGCCAAAGAAAGTTGTCGTTTGCTCAAATCATTTTAGGAAGAAGTCCTCAAACAACTACCAACATTACAGGACAGGATTTACCAAAAATACTTGGACTGAAGGAAAGTTCTGTTCATGTTCGTCACAAACCTACAGATGATGGTGATGTAAGTACAAAATGATGTTTTGTGTGCCTTGTATTGTTCAGCACAGACATGAGTCGTCAGTTAGCATAAGCTAACGCTGTGGTTGCTAAATGACGCCTTTGCTGGTCCTGACTGTGTCTCACGTTACGCTACAATATCTGCGCATTTACTAGCAGAATTGTAGTAAAGTTAAAACGATCGTTTATATTAAAAAGATTCAATGCTTGGGAAAACATGTCGGACATTACCGACATTGTCTGATTTATTTTTTTATTTTTTATTTTTTCTACATGTTGAGAAAAGTGCTTCTCCTCTAACTTCGGGAATTTTAGAAAAATGCCGCATTTGAGGGAAAAAAAACAACAACATTTTTGTGCTGAATTACTGGCTTTTGGAACAAAGATGTAAAGTTGTACTACTGTGCTTCTGCTTGAAGCCATTTTCATACATCTGAGGTAAACACGTGAGTTGGGAGGGCGTGGCTAGCAGCTTCTCATTTACATAATCGTGATTAGTTAATTTGTGTATGAAAAGAGTAAACATAAAGACTGCTCTGACCTCGGCTATAAATTCACGTATGTCTAGTTGAGTGGGGAAGCAGTCCAGAGAATACATAATGGTACCAATCTCCCTGGAAAACAGGCACATAATGAGAGTTAGAAAGAAGCATTATATCTGCTTAGCTTGATGCAGAAACTGCACTATTTTCTGACCTAGTTTGGTTTCAAGCTTTTTAAAAAATAGTTACCGACAAGGTAAAAAGGAGACCTACTTACTCTTTCTACCTTTAAGTTCAGGAGATTTTCCAAACACTTAATTATCCCAATTTATAGATGTGTTCTTACTGATGACAAAATGCTATCATTTCAGTCATAATCATCAAAACAAATATAAATTAAATCTTAAATGTGTATCTGTGTCTAATGAATATGAGCTTCAATATTTAAATTGAATAACTGAAATACCATTTTATTATTATTAGTTATGTTTGTACTTTTTAATAATTGTACATTAATTATTACTTACCGGACGTCCACCATGTTTTTGGACTCGTAGTCAAACGGCTCGAAGGCGGCCGTTATCTTCCTGTGAATAGCCAAAATGTTTTCGTTTTCTGAAACAAACAGAGCCGAATAACGAAAGCTGTTGTTAATACACCTCTAACAAACTAAGCAGGTCCTGCGGTACTTCTAAATCTGTAGGTTGACTCCATTAAACAGTACGAACCTTCACTTTCGTCGTCCGCCATCTTTCAGCTTGTTTTCCTGTTGCCTAGCAACCGAACGTTACCAGTTTATTCGGTTTGCGAGGTAACGTTAATGTCACAAAACGATTAAATAAATAAAGTGAAATATGAAAAACGTTTGAAGCAATCATTTTTAAAAACGGTCCGTATAAGCTGCTTGGACTGTTATTTTAAAAATACTCGTAATCTTATATATTACTTTTTACTTATAAATGTTAACGATATTAACCAAAATATAAACACAATTAGACCAATAGGACACAAAGAAATAAAAGAAACATTTTCTTTATTTTTAAGACAGTATATGCCTTTAAACTAGATTTAAAAAGTAAATAAATCATTTATAAATTCAGTTGATTTACAATTTACAAACAACATTTTCCCGCAAACATTTTGAATCAACTGCTAAAAAAAAATTACAATTTCTGTTATTTCAACCGGTCATTCTGAATGCAATAACAAAGATGAGCATTTTCAGAAAATTTGTGTTGATTTAATTTATGGCACATCACCAGTGTATTTAAGCACACTGGATTTACTAAACTAACTATATGTCAAAGCAGTGTAAATAAATGAGTGTAAATAACAGTCTAATTGCACTCCTTGGGCATAATAGTTAAATACCAAACAGATAATAATAGCTCCAAACAATATCAAATCCCGTCAGATGTGGATTTTGATGTAGGGAATGTGACTCATTGACCATGACAAAAAGGCTTTTTGTTTTTTATTTTCCTATTTGCATTGTCAGAAATCATCTTTTGTCAGTTCGGTTAAGATATCTAAAATAAAGATACTGTCTTTGTCAGGGGAGTGAATGTGTTTTTGGTTGTACGCAAAGGAAAAACTGAAAACAAACTAATCCAGGATTCATTCATTCAACCACCACTTCAATTTTATCCGAAATAGAATATCTGTCAACATTAAGGATGTGAAAGAATATAAATAACTGACATATCTATATTTATTGTATTCTAACATGTGAGAACAAACTATTTTTGTGAAATATTTCTGCCAATCATAGCATTTTAATTTATGGAAAGCATTATGAGTTTAATTTAAAACCTCTACCTTTGTAAAAGCTGTGGGAATTATTTTATTCGTAGAAAGAATGTGACAGAAAGCCATTGAAGAGGCCCAGTATTTTAACAGCCATTTGTTAAAATATGCTTAGAGACTCGTATAAAAAAAAAATACAATTTACAGTGATAAATTTATAATTTATATTTTATCTTTAAAAGTTTTTTCTGCAGCAGGCTAAATGGTAAAGTGGTTAATATTTATATTTCTGGTTGTCCTTGATGCACAGGGGCATGGTGGGTTTCTGCTAGCACATTAGGAAGTTCTTGATCTTGATGTTCCTCTGTTTGCTTTATGGGTTCGTCCTGAAGCGTCATTACGTCCAGTTGCTGCTCGCCTTTCTGCTCCATTGCTCCTGCATTCGACTCCACAGTAAATGTGTTTGATTGCATGTTCTCTTCTGCCAACTCCTGCTCTTGATGAGGAGTTTGGTTGTTGCTTGAGCCCTTTAAAGTAGATGGAGGTAAACAACGTCACTTCAAAAAATATTGTAAAAAAAAAATCTATCAATCAGGATGTAACAGTAAATCATTGGAGGAAATATCGAGGACATTAACAGCTGCTACAATTATTAGTATTTTAATCAGTTATATTAGTTTTTAAGTGAATGTTTGATTTTCTTTTGTTATGGTGACTCACTTTAGCTAGTTTAGCTACGTCGCTAGTGCTAATACTAAAGCTAAGCATGCTAGTAGCCTTTACTTAGCAAAAAATAAAAATCTTATTTCAAGTAAGATTGAAAGTATTTGATAAAAAGGATACTCAAGTACCTTTTGACATTTAAACTTTAAAGTTGAATTAAATGTTGAAAGCTTACATAATAATTGTATTTATTGTAGTATTCACAAATATTTGATACTTTTAAATATTTAAAAATTTAATATTTGATTTAATTTAAACTCATTTAAATTAAATATTTAAATATTGAATAAATTGAAAATAATTCACATGAATACTAAAATTACAAAATAACAAAATTAGGCAAAAGAAACATTTTCCAAATCAATTTCTTTCAATAAAACATATGAAGCTAATAAAACCTGCAGGTGTGTGTCTTGTGAATTTTTGTTTAAAACATGTTTATTCTTCATTCAGTGAAGTTTCTCACAGTGGACAGATTATCGATACTTCACACTAAAATTACTCAAGTGAAAAAGTACAGCCTTGTAAAAAGTACATTTTTTTCACAAAGTTACTCAAGTAAATGTAACTGAATACATGTAACTAGTTACTACCCAACTCTGCTAATAATGCATCTTCTAAAGACAATTAGAGGTAGTTTCTTAAATATAGCAACTTTCAGATTTTTAAATTAAAAAAATATTACAGATGAAACAATGTGTGCATGTTACGTAAATTTTGCTAACTGTCACAGTTTATGCTGTCGGTTTACCTGTGTGTTAATAAATGAAGGCGACAGCAGCTCTGAAGGGTCCAGCAGGCCATCCTGGTTTAGATCCTGAGTTTGTAGTAAGAAATCCACCATGGACACCACCTGAACCCAGAAGGCACGAAAAGAAAAGACACGTTTATAAAAAGCAGCCAAAGAACCCTGAAGGAGGTATTTACAAATACACACAAATACTACAGACTACTGCCTAAAAAACCCAAGAAATGTTAAGAAAGACTAGTGGCTTAAAAAAAAAAAACAACACACTGACTCAGTCACTTCAGCTTACATGCTCATTGGCCTCTGGTCCTAGTGCATGATGGGAGTTGTAGTCAGAGAGCAGCTTCATGATCTCCAAGCCATCCAAGAATCCGCTGCGATCATAATCGTAGAGACGAAACAGGAAGAACACCTCTGAAGCAAAACAGAGAAGACGCGTTGTATACTAACGTTCATTTAAATTTCACTTTGAAAAAGTATTTAGAAAAAACTCATTTAACAAAAACAACTTTCTGTGCCAGGATGAGGTGGTTTTTGGCCATACTGAAATAAATTTATTTTGCAAAACTACAGTGGAAACACTTTTTCGCATCATGTGAGACATGATCAACAGCTGGATGTTACTACTGTTGAAAACAGCAAAGAAGACAACAGGAAGTGACAGGAGGATGATGGTTTGTTTTGACTTTTGAAACTCAGAAATATCCATGTTTTTTTTTTCTGGGAAATTTCTGAGATCAATCGTAAAATTTCAGATTTTTTTTTTTTTTTTTTGGGTGGAAAGTTACTCTTTTTGTAACTGCCCAAATACGATATCGTAGGATGGTGAAACAAAAAAATGTTAAAGTTGCTTCAGGTCCAATCAGTGATATAATGGGGAACAATCAAATCCATGACCAGAGAAATTTGATATGTTGCTTTTACTTCTTCAGTTAAATCACTAAAATAAGTTACCCTTTCAGTAATTCAGTGATTTATTGATCCGTATGGATCAATAAATCCATACAGATTTATTGATCAATAAATCAATAAATCCATACGGATCAATAAAACCTACTGCAAACAACAGTTTGCAGTAGGTTTCGTCTACCTTGCTCCCAGGAAGTGATGTCAGGACTTCCCTGGCTGTTGCGTAGACTTTGCTGAATGTAGCTCTGCAACAACCTGCGATTACAGAGTTTTACAAAACATCAGGTGGAAATAACAGAAAGTAAAAGATAAAAATAGAAAAAAAAATAACTGGTGAAATTATTATTAAAATAAAGATGTGAACTGGGAATATTCATATAATAATAATTAAAACAAAGTCTGGTGTTTCTCCTCCTGCAGTCCTTATCAGAGTTTGGCTCTGGCCGCATCAGCAGCAGAAACCGAAGTCCAGAATGACGAGACAGAATCTGCTCAGTCCACTGTAAAAAATTAAACACGGAGCCTGTGGGGTTTGTATAAGGCTGCAATAATTTCAGTTATTGATTAATGTATTGACTATTTGACAATCGATTAATCAGATAAAACCAGGTACTTTGTGCACATTTTTTATTTAAACCTTTACAATATTACAATGGCAGATAAACAATTAAGTTCATAAAATGGCAATAAAATGGGCATTTTATTGCCTAAAATGCAATAACATAACATTCCTTCAGTGTATGCTTGATATTTTGGAGCAAAACATTCATCTAGACTGAAAAAAATAAATAAAATACTTCCTAGAATCAACATGTGAAAAGCCAAAGTCTTTAACATCTTTCCTAATATCCTTTAATTTTTGTTTTATTTCATTTTTTTGGATTAACCGATTAATAAATTAATAGTAAAAGGTGGTCAATAAGGGCTTTTTTCTCTTTTTTTACTGAATTTGTATCAGATGAAGCTAAAACTGCCACATGAATAGGAAAACATTTACAAAGAAGGACTTTTTAATCTTAAATGCAAAATATATAATTTTTTTTGAACACTTTTAGCTTAATTATTCCTTTGACAATGTTGAGCTCTCAGCAAATGTTTCTTGAGTCTGTATACTACAGTTAAGTACTAAATTAGTTGACGATTAATTGATGATTGATGATTAATCTGATTAATCGTTCCAGTCTAAGTTTTATGTTGTATCAACATTAGAAAGCAATCTGACGAAAACAATGGCTGATGATTTTATTTTATGTTGGGTTTTGATTGCTAGCAATGATGTAAAATCTTAATAGTGCGGCTGGAGGAAACGAGTGGTGATGTGGGCATAAACTTGAAATGGACTTTCTTAGAAAGCTAATTTCTGACTCGGAATGAGGTCGCAGTTCATCAGCTGGGCCTCGATTGAAAGCTTCTCACCTGCGTTCCTCTTCTCCAGAGCCGAAGGGGTTGATCAGTCCTGGAGGGGGATGGACATCCGATTCTTTCCTGAAGGACGAACAAATGACAACAAAACAAAAACAACACATTAAAGTAGATTTATGACATGTCGAGTGTTATTTATTT